AAGGAGGCATGAACCCAGGATGGGAGAGGGCACCAGCAGGGGCAAACCAGGCTGGAGAGTTATGCTCCCATTGGCTGTTGGGGAAACTGAGGCCCAGAAAGGATTAGGAACACACTCAATTAGGAATGTGACACCCTGAATGGGTTCCCAATCCTCCTTACTCCTTGTCTAGTGCTCACACTAGCATTTCCCTCTGTCCATGCATCATGTGTATCTCCTGGGGTGGGCCATTGTGGGAAATACAATTTCCAGCCCCAAGCAGCTGAATTATCATTTCTAGGGGCAAGGCCTGGGCATCTGCATTTCTAATCAATATCCCAAGTGATTTTTGTGAGGACCACATTTGGGAAACACTGCTTGAGTGGCTGAATTTTTTTTCTGCGGCCGCCCTCTAATGAGAGAGGGTCTCTTAGCTCTCCCACCCTCTACTGTTCATGAACTACAGACGAGTACAGGAGAGGGGGAAGATCCTTGGTTTGAAAACCCCAGGAGGCAAATAATGATGCCCAAGCCTTGCTGGCACTAGGGCATGGTTCTGGCCTGATGTCATGAGGGTTTACAAGCACACAGGCCTGGGGCACCTCTCCACAGTTCAGGGAGGAGAGGGCATATGTAGGCACAGGGCCTCGGCTTATGTGCAGATGAAGCCCAGAAAAAGTGTCTGCCCCAGCCCCATATGACCCACACCATGGGCAGCCTCTAGGCCCCGCCCTGGCCCTGCCCTGGGCTCTGGCTCTCAGCCCAGCCCCAGCCCCCGCAGCCGCAGCCTGAGACCACAATTACAGGGGCCACTGGGGGTGGGGGAGCACCAGGGCTGAAAGGCAGCTCTGAGAATGGTTCCAGCTGTGGTGGCTCTGGAGAAGGTTGCAGGAAAGGGAGGGCCGAGGAGGCGCCAGGGTGAGAACAGGTGGGACCCTCCATCATGATGCTCCGCCAGAGAAGTTTGTCTTGGTGAAGAAGAGAGGGAAGGAGCTCCAGACTGATAAGGGAGCTCTTTGTCCTATTGTCTGGGTCTCAGGGACCACCGCCCTCAGCAAGGTCAGGGAGCATAGCCTGCTGCTTCAGTCTCCCAAACACCTCATTTGTTTGGTCACAGAAAGGAAGGGGAAATGTTTCTTGAGTTCTCAGCCTCTGGTTGATCCTGGCCTTTCCAGCCGGCTTCCCCACCCATCTCCCTGCATTCCAGCTGTTTCTGATATGGTCATGCACACATCTGGGGCAACTCTGTGATCTTCCCCCATCTCCTTGATTCCACATGTCCTCCATCACTCAGCCAGCAGGAACCTTGGTGGCTTAGATTGTGCCTGGGGCTGAGCAACTGGGTCAGCAAGGCGGGTGGTATGATGTGGCATTTCTGAGCTCTGCTTCCAGCCCCATTCCCAGGCAGCAGTGCACGAGCACAGAGCCATGTCTGAGCATAAAAAGGACCAGGATAATGGTCAAAATAGTTCCTCTTGAGCCATTACTCTCACCCTTTACGGATGGCAGTTCTCAGACTCCTGCTGGGCTTGGTCACAGAAGATGGAACACCAAAAAGTGACTAGAAGTTTAAAGATTGCAGTGTACTCTTACAATGTACCAACAAGCTATTAGGCACCCCCATTTCATGATGGGAAAACGGAGGCTCAGAGAGATTATCAGACGTGATTGAGGTCGAGCTAGCAAAGTAGGCTTTTTTTTGTTTCCACAGTATCTTGCTACTTCCTTTTTACCTGCTTGGGTTGGTATCAGTTCATGCCACTGCTTGTTTCCCTCTCTGGCGTCATGGAGAATGTCCAGTATAACCCACCCATACACTGTCCACCCTCCACCCACTGGATCTGGAAGGAAAGACGAGGAGGCAGGCATCCAAGACAGTCTGGAATCCAAGCTGTCTGTGGGTCTCTTTGCTTTCTTTCATCCTACCCTCTCCTGCCGACCACTCAGAGTTTCCCAAAGGTCCTGCAGGTTCTGTTAGTGCCTTTAAATAGGGAAACTAGGTTCTGTGCACCCTCTGGTGGTCGCTGAGAGAAGTACAGAAGATTATTTTTCAAGCATTGTACCCATGGCAGAGCTCTGGGGAAGGCAGAGATGTGAATATAGACTCTGTAGGGAGCCTCATTTCACCTCCATGTGGCCCACAGTGCCAGTTCCACTCTCTTCCCTTGGTAAGTTATCCAAGCCTGCTTGGGTTGAGAAGTTCTGAATCCAAATTCTCTATGACACTTCCCTGAAGCCCAGGCACATAACCTGAGGGGGCCAGGAGAAACCGGAAGAAAAACCCAGATGCCCTTTCCTTCCTACAGCAGCCTATAACCCTTTCCATACATGCCACACTCTGGGGCCCCAAACTGAACCTTGAGGGCTGAACCAGGCTGGGTCATAGATGTGGATGGGCGGGCATTGTGGGGAGAGGACAGATGCACTGGAAGCCATGGTTAGGGTCTGTCACGTCCTGGATGGGTTCACTTTCCTTCTGTTTCATTTGAAGAACTCTGCTGTCTTCCCTGTGCCCCTATTCCCTGTGGTCTTGGGTGGGGGGCGTGCTAACAATCCCAGTCGTAGTAGTACATCTCCCTGGACACTGTTATTGGTTCAAGAATAGACAAGTGACCCAAGCTGACTCAATCAGGGTCTTTGTCAGGACTTCTGCTGGGAAGACCTTTTTTTGGGGGGGGGATCACTAGCTCTAAGAATGTAGGCACAGAGCTGCTATTTAGAGAAAGTCTATCTGCAGCAGGAGAAAATGAGGATGGCATGAGAAGAGAGACAGATAAGCAAAAACAATAGATGGGGGGGGGGCTAGGAAAAGAGACTTATGAGCCCTGTCCAGTTTGGCTCAGCAGCTGGAGTGTCAGCCCAGGGACCAAAGGGTGGGAGTTCAATTACCTTTTAAGGGCATGTACCTGAGTTGCAGTTTCAATACCCAGCCCCGCTGGGGTCTGGGGTCGCAGGGGAGGCAAACAATAGATGTCTCTCTCACATCAATGTTTTTTTCTCTCTCTCTCTCCCTCCCACTCTATCTAAAAGAAGGAGGAGGAGAAGAAGGGAAGGAGGGAGGGAGGAAGGGAGGGAGGGAGGGAGGGAGGGAGGGAGAGAGGAAGGGAGGGAGGGAGGAGAAAAGAAAAATAAATAAATGCTTTAAAAAGAGAGAGACTTATGGCATCCTTTGGGCCCCTGGGTTCAGCTGTACCCGAATTCACTTTTATCCCTGGTCTTCCCAAGTATAAGACCCATTCATTAATTTGCTTTGGACCAAGTTAATCTGAGTTGGGTATCTTTATTTGCAATCAGGGCCTGCCTAATACCTGCAAAAAAACAACAACAAATCAGCTTTCTATCCCCATTCTCATAGTAACTACTATTTATTAAGCATAAATCTGACACAAATTTTTATGTCAAATGCTGAGCTGAATGCTTTTCATAGTTCAAAAATATCCTCTCCACAATTCTATGAGGACATGGGATGGATTACAATGACTTCAAATCCTTTGCCACTCTCCCATTGAGACGTGGGATCTATTTCTCCTTCCCTTGAATTTTGGCTGCTTCTGTGACTTGTATCGACCAACAGAGAATGACAGCAACGCTGTGCAAACTTCCAAGGCTGGAATTAAAGAAGAGACTGGAAGCTTCTGCCTCCCAGTTGTCACAGTCTATTTCAAAAGCCAGCCTTATGTAAGAAGTCCCACTACACTGAGACCATCATGCTGTAAGGAAGCCCAAGCTAGGCACATGGAGAGAAGGAGACCACTGGAAAAGCTCTGAGGCAGTAGACATATATAACTGAAGCCTCTTGGAGTGCCCAGCCCAGCCCAGCCACCAGTGGAGTACAGCCAAGTGAATAACCACAGCCAATAGTTCTGCCATAAGAAGTAGAACCATCAGCTGAGTTTTGACAAATTCCTAACCAAAAGGATCATGAGTAGTTACATTGGGGTTGTTTGTTATGCAGCAATGAATAAATGAAACAGGACGATATTCCCATTATATAGGTAAAGAAACTGAGACTCAAATGATGTATACTGTAACTTCTAAGCAGCAGCAGCAGCAGCAGCAACAGCAGCTTCAGACCCCAAGCTCTTGCTTTGCTCTACATACCTTGATGGGGGCATCTACAGTATTTAAACTATGAGAAAATTGGGGGCTTTGAAGCCCAGCCCGTTGGCAGTTCCCTCCCCCACTCTCTCTGGAGGAAGATGGGGGCATGAGGTTCAGCGCTGGAGAACCCAGATCCCCAAGCCCTTCCTCTCTTCCCTCCACACTCACCACCCGCTTCCCTGGAAAGAATAAGAAGGAAGAAAATGTAGTTGGATGCTAGGAGAAACCTTGGAACAACTTTTCTTCATCTGCCTCTAAGTGTAATTAGAAATGCTGTTCTGAGCAGTCGTTTCAATGTTAATGGGGGTGAAGTTAGTTTCAATGTCAAGTCTGATGTTACTAATAACATATTTCATCACATTCTACAGTTCATAAAGTGCTTTAATCCTATGGGCTTGGGTGGCCCTAAAAGTCTACCCACAAATCCCCCAGGGATCACAGAAACAGGAGGGCGGATAAAGGTGTCACACCCTCTAGGATTCTGACGAGCGGGAGGAGAGCTTACACCAGCAGGTGCTTCCAGTCCACTTTCCCCAGACCCTCTCACGAGTCTGTTCCTTTAAAGAGGGACTGCTACTTCTTCCCCAGCTTGTAGATCCAGGCCCTAGATGTGTGACATGAGTGAACAAGAATGCCAAGTGGAGATTTGGCACTCTTCACCATGGTTGCCGGGAGAGCCCAGTCCCATGGGGGGGGGGGGTGTCCAGACTGAGGAGCTCCGAATTGCTACTTCTACCCAAACCATCTCCCTTTAGACACTCCTTCCAGAGCCTGGCCTCATGACAACCCACAGGAGATCAGCCCCCCTCCCAAACTGTGGGCCCAGTCCTATTGGTTTAAATATCTTTATTGATACTAAACCCACCCACCCAACACATGGCCAGCAGTTCTGAGGAGCCCCACATCCAGAGGCCTAGAGAAGAGCTCTTTGGTTTCCATCTGGGGGCCAAGGAGAGAGAACTAGAGAACTCCCTAGAGCGTATAGTCTCCCCCAGAACCCCTTAAAGCACCTCTTGGGGGAATCCCTCCGAAGTCCTGGGCCTTCCCCGGCGCGCGGCGCTCGTTATCTTCAGCTTCCCCGCCTCGGTTTCCAGAGGCCCGGGAGATGGACTTTTGCAAGGGTAAGCTGGGCCAGTGCAGCTCCCCCTGCTGGAGCCCAGAGGTCACACAGGTACCGAGAGGCGGCTGTGTGCGCAGTCTGGAGAGCCCCGCGGCGGGTCAGAGGCAGAGGCTGAGCTCCTTGCGCACGAGGCATTGGTGGCACTGCACTACGCAGCACCAGTGGAAGCGGCACAGGCAGTTCTCTTCGAGCTGCACGCTCTCCTGGCGGTGCCCGCGGCCGCAGCACAGCAGGTCGCAGCCGCTGAGGTCCAGGGCACTGCTATTACAGGTGCGGCCGCGCGTGCCGGGAGAGCCTGTGCGCCTGTTGGGGGCGCAGAAATCGGGCGAGTCAGCGACGTAGAGTAGGTCAGCGCGGCTGGGCGGCTTGAGACTGCGGACGGCGGGCAGCAGAGCCTTGCCATCGTTGGTGCCCATGACGCGCGAGGCGCCGTGGAAGCGCTCGAGCAGCTCCGCGCCCACCTCGCGGAACGGGGGCAGCTTCTGCCAGCAGGTGCGCAGAGCGCACGAACCCGACAGCCCGTGGCACTTGCACTCGGTGCGCGTATGGCTCCGCACGGCCTGCGGGAAGCAGAGGAACAGGCGGATGGAGACGGATGTGGGGCGCAAAGAGGCCCAGAGGACAGAGACAAAAAATAAGGGGGTGGGTGGACAGAAGAAAGAGCAGAACAAGACAAACAAACAAACAAACAAACAAACAAACAAAAAGGAGAACGCAAGGTGAGGAGGAGGAAATAAAGGAAGCAACAGTCCCAAGCAGAGGGTAAGAATAATGATGAAGAAATAGGAGAAGTGGGGGATAGAATGTGGCGCAGAGATCCCGAGATCCAAAGCCGGTGAGTGGGGAGAGAGTAGAATGGACAGCCGCGGGTGAGTCTCTCTGGAGGAGGGGGTGAGGCAGTGGTAGCTGTCACCTTTTCCCTCCTGCCAACCCTCAAGGCCCCAGGCAGGGGTGAGCAGAGAGGCATAGCCCACTCCTTGGGCGGCTGCCTCCACCACCCCTCCCCAACACTCTCTGACAGGTATGTGGGCCTGTCAGGACATTCCTCTCTGGGCCCCTCTTACCCCCTGCCCAGTGCCTCAGGCCCAAATTCTAGAGGACACAGGATGTGTGTGGGGATGCCCCTAAGAGCACCCTAGAACTGAGGCATAGGGCCCACTGCGGATGCACTACTGAAAACTGGAACCCAGGAGTCCTGCCCTATATTTGCCATTTGTGGCTAAGAGTCACAACCTTGCTAGAGATTTATGGGGTCAAATGACTGAGGAAGATCATCTCTGGAAGTTGAGTGTCCAGAGGCCAATCTGATCTACAGATATTTGTGTCCCCCCCTCCCTCTCCCAGGCTCTCTCCTGGCCCCTGGAAACACCTGACCCAGGCAGCTTCTTGTCTCTAAATAGGAGCTCCTGGGGCCTCCTCATTGCAGAGGGGAGGGAGAGGCGGCCAGGGTTCTGGGCAGGGCCTGGTCTGGGATTGCTGGGGTTGCCAAGAGTCCAGATTCAGTCACATCTTTCCTGGCCTCTGCCTGACCCGCCTCCTGCCTCCACCAGGATCTAGCCCATTGCCTCTTGGGCCTGTTCTAACCTCTTTCTAGCCTCCCTCACATCTCCTGGCTCCTCTCCCTCGAAACCCCATAACTTTGCCCCAGCTCTGTTCTTCCTTTCATCCCCAGCCTTTGTCTCCACCCTCTGTACTTGCCCTGGTGGCCACATCTCTACCCACCCCAAACTTTGCCCCACCTGTCCAGCCTCAGAGGTATACCTATACCCTCTCTACCTGGGGTCCCTAAAAACCCCAACCAAGTTCTCTTCCCTGGGTGACCTCTCTCTACCCCGTCCCAGGCCCCCCAAGTGACTCCATCTCCTATGCTGGTCACCTCACCTCCCACATGCCCCTCCAGGTCCTCAGCCAATCTTCCCAAGTAGCCCCCACTTCCATGATGGCTACCCCACACATTAACTTACTCCTGCACATACACACCCTCTCTCACAGCCTCACCTTCACACACTTACTTCCACAAGTGCGCTCTGCTCCTGCGCATACACCGCACTCTCCCACATCCACATGCCTACTCCCACAACTCTCCCACATCCACTGACACAGACATGCATTTCCACACTCGTGCACACACACTCGTACACATCCCTGCCCATACTCACCAGTCGGCCCGCCTCATTGTTGTGAAGTTGCACCAATGCTCTGATGTCTCCACTTCCCCGCTTGTGCCTGGCGTCCATAAAGAGCCTGGACTTCTCATCCCCAAAGTCCACATCATCCCCGCAGCCTCCCCATTCCCAGGCTGCACTGCCCTCTGGGGAGCCCACGAGGCCAGGGGGCCCAAGGGTGCCTGGCAAGCCGGGAGGTCGCGGTGGGGCCCGCCTGCGGGGCGCCTGGCAGCCACACTGCAGCAGCTCACCCATGGAGCAGGCCTGTGTGACTGCGTGGCTGGCGCCCGCAGCTGTGATGGCAAAGACAAAGGCCGTCTCCCGGATATCTGTGGGGACAGGGAGGGGCAGTCAGCAGGGCATCAAAGCTGAGTCCTGGGGGACTGTAGTGGTGGGGGCAGTGAGGTGTGTGGGGGAAGCTGGGAGACAGGGTGAGGGCAGAGTGCCCAAAGATCCATTGGAGAGGTGGGGCTCAGGCAGCCTCCCCAAACCTCCCCCCACTCCTCTGAGCCCCCAGGTCCCCTTCTCACACTGACCCTGCTGCAGGATGCGCCCAAAGGCCTTGCTGTGGCTGGAGCAGTTCCAGCGGCGGAAACGGAACTGGAACTGGCATTCTCGAACCCCGAGCCGGGCACCCCGTGCTAGCTCAGCCACCACTTCGGGCTCCTCCTGGCACAGCTCAGCCTGCCGCCCTGCCAGCCTTCGTGCCTTCCTGCAGATACTGGTAGGGTCCATGACCAAGGGGCTGCCCACTGCCCTGGGAAGCAAAACACAGCAGGTCAGGGGTGTAACTTGAAGGGTTGGGGGTGACAGAGGGAGACCAATCCCGCTCAGCCCACAGCTAGGAACTGGGATATGCTTCCCACCATCGCCAACTAAGATTGAGATTCTCCTATCTGGCTCTCTTACCATTCCATCCATGTATGTGTTCCCTTTTAACTAGAATCTAGACTGAAATCACTATAAAGCAAGGATTCAATCTTAATCCTTCTAAGCACATCTTTACTAATACATCTTTATATGATTTTGACTCAAGGTGAAGGCAGGTCACCAGGTAGGCCAAGACTAAAATTCAACAGGCCTCACCCAAAAGGCAGACAGGAAGAAAATTAACAGAAGGAAGATAAAGAAGGTTGTTAATGCCTGGCCGGTGTAGCTCAGTGGTTGAGCATCGACCCATGCACCAAGAGGTCACCGGTTCAACTCCCAGTCAGGGCACATGACCAAGTGGTGGGTCAAATCCCCAGTTGGGGGCATGCAGGAGGCGGCCAATCGATGTTCTCTCTCATTCATGTTTCTACCTCTCTCTCCCTCTCCTTTCCTCTCTCTAAAATCAATAAAGAAAAAAAAAAAAGAAGAAGAAGAAGAAGGTTGTCAAAGAAATTATGTAAAGAGCCCTGGCCAGTTTGGCTCAGCGGTAGGGCATTGGCCCATGGACCATTGTGGGTTCAAGGGCATGTACTTGGGTTGCAGTTCGTCTCCGGCCCTAGTCAGGGTTGTGTGGAAGGCAGCCAGTCGATGTGTCTCTCTCTCACGTCGATGTTTCTCTTTCTCTCCCTCTCTCTCCCTCCCACTTTATCTGAAGATAAATAGAAAAATATTCTCAGGTGAGGAGTAAAAAAAAGAAGAAAATATGTATAGATACTAAAGAAAATGGTATTTAGAAAAAGATTTGGTCTTAGTGGACCACAAGCTGGATATGTGTCAGCTGAACAGCCCTGATGTAGAAAAGCTTGGGCAATTCCAAGGGATATAGAAAGCCATCAATTTTAAAATGGCTGGGGGATGGAGCCTCTGAGAAAACTCACACCCTCTTTAGCCCAAGTTTCTCCTTCTGTAAAATGGGAAGGATGGGCTTTGATCTCTAAGGTGGGCCCTCCCACCCTGAGACCCTCTGTTTCCCTGAACTGGAGAGCAGGAGGAAGGACCTGGGGACTGAGTCTCTGAAGCACTGTGAAGCAGGTGACAGTGACCCCCTCCTGCTCCAGGAACTGTGTACTTCCCAAAGCAGGACGGCAGCAAGCCAAGCCCTTTGCACTGGGGTGACATAACTACTTGGAGAAGGGGGACACTAACAGGGTGAGTAAAGACCTCATGGGAAGTTCCACACACTTTCAGAAATCCCTCCATTCCCAGCTTCATTCTGACCAGAGAGTTACCATCTGGTTTCCATACCAGGCCTGTGAAGGTTAGTTTGGCTGGGTATTCACACCTGGGTGGAAGGGCGTTCATCACATTGCTCTTATTTGAATGCTTAACTGGTGTCCTTGTCTTGTAGGAATGAGTGAGTTGAGCATTTGGGAACTGAGGGTAATTTGAAGCCACTCAAAAACCCTTGAGCAGAGGGCAGAGAGAGACTGGTGGGGAGAGAAGTGGCACCAGGAGACGGAAAATGTGAAGGAAAATGTGGTAGACAGGTGCCCAAGGTCAAGGTGGCCTCTTTTCCGTTTAGCTTTAGTGCACATCCACCCCCACTTGTCCCCATTTGCTCCACAACTGCAGGATTCCCAGGCATGTTCTGGCCCAACAACAATGAAATATAATGGGCTTAAATCGCAGCAGGAGGAATTTAGGTCTTAAGACACAATGTAACACTGAGGAGTGAGATGCTTAAAGAGGTGGTTGTAAGCTCAGGCCTTTAAGGTCTCCACACACACACACACACACACACCCCTACAGGTCATTGTGATCATCCCTAACAAAGTAGTCGAAGAGCCAAGGTTCTCTCCCCAGTGGAGAGACCTTATAGGCCAGACCAGGGATTTTCAACAGATGTGCTGCAGGAATTTTTCAAACATGCAATACCTGACTGTTTAGTCAAGGGCCTCTTTTTCCTTAGATTGTCAAACAGAAAAATGACAACAGCCAACACAATAGCCATCTGGTGTGAATGAATCAAACTTATACCTGGTTTGTGTGTGTGTGTGTCAGATTGGCAAAAAGTATATTTTTTGGTGTGCTGCAGAATTTTAGTAATTAGTTTATGTGAGCCATGAGATGAAAAAGGTTGAAAATCGCTGGTCCTTCCCTCCTCTATGCCCATCACTGCATTCCAGCTGTAGCCTGGAAAGGTCCGGCCCCACCCTTGCCCAACCCTAGAGAAGTGATGGATGGAGCAGTGGGGAGCAGACCAAGCTGGTTCCCAGTGGCCCAGAGGCCTTCAAGAGCTGATTATCTATCTGTCTATCTATCTATCTATCTATCTATCTATCTATCTATCTATCTATCTCTCTATCCATCTATCTATCCATCCATCCATCCATCTCTACGTCCACCCACTTATTTCACCTCATTACAAAAAGAATTGGAGGCAGCTTCCAGTGTGGTTGTGTAGGGTCAGTAGATAAGACTATAAGTACCTTGAGAGCTAGGACTGTCATTTTCTTCTGTTTCCCAGGCAGATTTTTCAGTGATTAATTCATATTTCCTCTCAATTTTTATGAAAAATTTGCATATGTTGAACAATTGCTATAATGCTACCATGAGTACCATTTAACACATGTTTTTGAATGAATAAATGAGCCATCTAAGGAGAGATCCTCACTTGAGCCCAGCCCCTGTCCACATGTCCTTTCATGACTCCTAATTACTTTCTGTAAACATTGTACTTCTCCCACTGGATTCAGAGGCAGGGAAGCAGGCCTCCTCAGGCTGTCCAGGTCCTCTCCTGTCACCCACATGTCCAGGACTCCACCTAGGAGTCTGGGGCTCTGTGCACTCAACATCCTCCCTGCCGTGCTACTCAGTTCTCCAGTCCTCCTCCCCAATCCTGCCCTCTGCTAACTCCCTACTTTCCCAAGGTCAACTGGCCTTATCTTCCCAAGGTTACTCTGCCCCCATCCCTCTCCTCTCCCTCCTCCTGCCCTAGGAAAGCAGGAGAGGGAGGGGGCATGCAGGGGAGAAAGGCAAAAATCTCTTGACCTTATCTGTTTCCCAGGGACTAGAGATAGAGGACTCAGAAGGATCCCTGGCTGCCTGGGAACTAGAGTTGTTTACAAGCTGGCCAGGAGAAGGGATGGGCAGTAGTAGCAGCCAGAATCCCAAGGGACCAGTTTGCTCCCTGCCCTCCTGTCCTCACTCCCATCCTCAAGTCACAGGAAAGGGAAGGCCAGAAAATGAGTGGCAGGGGGATACTGGGCAAAACACCGAGCCTCACTTCAGTACCCTGGTCTCTGTCAGCTCTGGGTGAGCTCAGCCACTCTGGGCAAGTCAGTTCCCTCTCTGGGCCTCAGAAACATGAGGACTTGGCATGAAAGGCTCACATACCCCCTTCTCACTTGAACACTTAACTCCACATCGGAAAATGACTCCCCCATCTCTCCTCTTCCTTTACCCTCTTTCCTGCCCTTCTGCTTCCTTAGGGAATGAACTCTGCCATTGTGCCTCTGAGTCAGCATCGTCCTAGGATTAGCCCATAGAAGCAGTGCCCATTTGGGAACATCTGCATGTTTTGGGGACTGGAGCATAGCAGTGGTAAGAAATATGTAATAAAGAATATGTAGGGTCTGAGATCCTAATCAAATAGACATTCCTGAGCATAGAAACAATGAGGCTAGTTTTAAAAGAAATCAGTATGCAGACAAGAAGGGACAAGCCTAGGGTTAGCCATTTTAACTGACTTGGCCTGCGCCAAGATCTTACTCCCAGGGAGCTTGGTGGCTTCAGGGGCCAGCCAGTTCCTACTGACAATATCTGTAGATCCTGCCCTGGAGGCCCAGGGTTCTGGCCTAATCAACTTACCTTTCCCAGATTCACAGGGCCTAAGAGAATGCCAGAGATCACGTAGTCCAGCTCCACCGACCTGACCTCCATTGTACAAATGAACAAACGTATCAGAAGACATGAGGTGGCCTCGCATGCCAATCCCCACACAGCCCTTACTCCTAGCAGGGTTGGATAACTCTGTAGCCATCCCAGAATATAGCACTAGATTTCTGGATTCAGAGTCAGCCCCTCCCTACCCCTAAATCTTCAAAATCTTACCCAGCATCTCTCCAAGCTCACCTTAGATCGCACTTGCCCTGAGGTGCCTCCTCTGGGTCCCATTCCTCACTGACCACCTCCCTCTACATCATTCTACCTGTCACTCATGGGGGTGAGGCGGGGTGCGCTTGTTATCCTGCTGGTGGCATAATTATTTTGTCATGTTTTCTTGTCTATCTCTCCCATTAGATAGGAAACTCATTAAAGACAAAGATCTCACGAGGAAGCATAATGTCAGTAGCGGAGCACACTCAGGGTTTTGGGGATCCAGCAGACACGGGTTTGGATCTGGGCTCTGCTACTTGCCTGTTCTGTGATGTTGAGCAAATCCCTAGCATATGAAGTTGGTATTCATTATTTGCTGAATGACTGACGAGACAACTTTCTGAGCCTGTTTCTGCCACTGTGAAATAGAAGCAAATAATAACACCTGCCTACTTCCCAAGTGGCATATGAAAAGAGCGGCCCAGAGAGTGGGCTTCCACAAGTGTTCTTTGTCTTGCCACTGACACCCTTATTCATCTCATGGCCTGCACAGTGCAGGGCAAACAATGGAGCGCAGGCAGCGTTTGTGGATTCCTGAGAACGCTCTTTTCTCCAGCTTTCGCTTCTCAGCCCGGACCCATGTGTCTCCTCTCCTACAGGCCCTGCCCATGGACCAGAGGACCCTCCAGGACTCCCACCCCCTTCCCCAGTGAGCACTCCTGGGTGGATTATTGAGGCCAAGGGGATCACAGACTCTTTTGATGCCCAGCCTCCTCTGAAAGGTCTCAT